AGATAAGTGCATTGCCTTCTTAAATATACCCAGGTGTTAACCTCCCCAAAGCATTTGACTTCAATTGGTGCTAAAACCCAAATTGACCTAGAAGGATATATTGGGATTTCTAAAGAAATATATGCTAAATTACTTCAGGGAACTGAATTTGTAGCTCAGCTCAAACAGTAATTTTCTCTATTGGCAGTGGCATAAAGAGACATCCACTTCCTTTATAACATATGCTCTTCTGGATGACCTTTGGCAAATTTCACTGGATCATTTGAGTGCTGCAAAAGACAGTGACAGCCATAAATAAGCAAAAAAAAAAATCCCTGGAGGGATTTTATTTTAAAGTTTTCTTTCTGCAGAATAACAGCATTGGAGATACTGATACATACATTGAATATTCCTTGAATTGTACATTAGTGCCATGATTATTTACATGCAGGGATCTATCAAAATTTCAATTGCTTTGTTGTGAATGAAGAAAGAAAATACGCTAATAATTTCTTGGCCAACCTATGAGATATTTTTGGTGATCACTACATTTGGTAGAGAAGCAATTTCACAAGCTGGTCTGCATTAGTATTTGTATGGCTTTCAGGTTTTAGCAATGCATCAGCCTGCAGTTTTGCTGAAAATTTCTTGAAATGTTCAATTTCTTGATCATCTGTAATTGTTCCAAATGCAGAAGCAGCTAACAATCTGAATAACAGATACTGGTGGAAACCTCAAGATCTATTTTGACCTTGCAATGGATTTTTAATAAGTGATAAATATAATTTTAACTAATGCTATCTTTTCTAAATGATGTTCTATTTTTATTTTAAAGCCTGCTTGCATGAGTTAAAAATAAAGTGAAGTAAAACCATATTCAAGGTTTAATTTTGACTGATTTTGGCAGCATTTGTTCTGGAACAGATGAGATTATTTGAAATGACACTTCACAAAATGCCATGTCAAACTCTTACAATTTATAATTTTTTGTATGAATAGGCACAGATTTGACTTATAATTCTGTTACAGAAAGACACCTTCAGTGAGTTAACAGATGTTTGCAAATTGTATTATGACAGATGGTACTGATGTTCATTTGGATAAGAGATTCATATGGAGAATACAGAAATGTGAAGTTCCTTTGGAAGACTAGAACAGACTCAGTATCGCACAGAAATGCTATGGGGCTGAGAAACCCAGAGCAAACCTCATCCCTGTCAATTTGCTCTTTGTAAGCAACAGAACAGGATTTCTTTTCAAAGCATGTAGTGACAGGCCAAGTGGGAATGGCTTTAAATTGGAAAAGGATAGATTACATGTTAGGAAGGAATTCATTACTGCAAGGATGCTGACGCACTGGAACAGGTTGTCTGGAGATGTTGTGGATGCCCCATCACTGGAAGGGTTCAAGGAGAGGTTGGACAGGGTTTTGAGTAACCTGGTCTAGTGGAAGGTGTCCCTGCCCATGGCAGGGGCGTTGAGATCCAGTGCTCTTTAAGATTCCTTGCAACCCAGGCCATTCTAGGATTCTAGGGTTTATGCTTATAACAACCTGCAGCTGTAGATTTGCAGCTGCGGAGATACAGTACCAGGCCTCAGCTACAGAGCAGGTGTGCTAAATTCATAGCCAACACACACTGGTGCTTGTTCCCATCCTTCCCTAAATCTCTTCTGTATGAGAAAATTTGTATCTGCACAGTAATATATTGATAACTTTCACTTGATCACAGTAAATTCCAAAGTAAATAACAAAGCTATTTGCCTTCTCTGATGTCTCTCTCTCATAAGTAGCTTTCATCTCAAATTATATCACCAAAAAGTCAAGTGGTTTTCTGTGTCCCCATTGTGGTGGTTTTAACTCAGTTGGATGAGGTTTTTTAGATACAACTTAGAGAAACATTACAAAACTTCCTAACATGATTTAATTGCCTAGGAGAGAAAGAAATATTAAAGGTGTAAAGGTCATTCATATGTTAAAAATATTCTGTGATCCCAAGGAGTACTTGTGAAACCTTTCTGAGTGCTATAAACCATTCCAGGTCCAAATTTCTAAAAGGAGTTAACTGTCAGATTACTATGATTTGTGCTTCATATTCCCATCATTACAGGAAACAGAAGAGAAGCTCAAAAATAAAAAGGACAATGCTTTAGCGGAATATCAGGCAAAAATGGCTGTAAAACACAATTTCAAGCAAATCTATTAAGTGATTTATTTCATGGTTTGATTGAAGCACGAAAGGTAAACATGCATTTTATTTGGGATGCAAGTGAAATAATTGATCCCTTTCACTCCTAATATCTGCAGCCAACATTATATTCTGGTCTTCAGAGTGTATATGTATACATCAAATTGTGGGTCACCCACTACACCACTTGCACTGGGCAAAGATCTTCTTGTGAAGATCTCAGAAGAAGTTTCTGATCAGATGCTACTGAGGAGAACAAGCAAAGCAGTTTCTTTTTTAATCACTCAAGAAAATTAACACATTTGTGATGCATGACCTTAGTGACATCTCTTTTGCTAATTAATCCCAAATCTTCCCTAACCCCACCGTTTGGTGCAGGGATATGAAAGGTCAGAGCAACGGAGATTTGTGCTAGTTTTGTAAGGGACAAAGACCAGCCTCTGCTCCCCCAAGAAAATTCATAGCTACCTTGTCTCAAATTCCTGATTTCTCCTTATAAAAGTCTGTCATTTGGAACTCTAATTCTGCTGTGATTTGCCAAAGTATAAGAACTTTGAGCCATTGTCCACATATTCCCCTTTTTCAGTAGTGTTTAGTACAGAATCAGCTCTCACTGAAAAAGAACAGTAATTGCACCAAATCAGTTTAGGCTTTCTCTACATATATAGTAAAAGGACATGATTGTATGTTTTGCTGCTTTTAAAAAAATTTTAGCTGCTGAGCAATCTTTGTTGATGTAGTGCACATGGAAAAATGTCCAGTAGTTTATTGAATTACCTAATTCTGTTTTGTTGCAACATTGTGTGAGAGAGTACAATAGGAGCAACAATTCTGTGTTTGAAAGACATGATAAAATTTTTAAGATACGTTAAGAGAATATCATCATTATGCCTGAAAAAACTATATAAACCACATATTAAATTTGCACAGTACTTTGTTTTATGAGCATGCTATGGACATTTTAGCATACTTTAACTTGAGAGACCCAAGACTAATTTTAAATTTAAAGTGAGTTGTGTTTTTCAGATACCTCTGAAATGTCCTTTATACCTAGAATCCTTGTGAAAGACTCTTATTTACACAGCCAGTACCGTATGAATATGTGCATGTACTGCCACAGAAGAGAAGATGTTAATTTAATACTAGCAGAAATCGGTGAAAGGGATTTTTTGACTTCTGACTTGCTCTTTATGTTAAGAAGCATATGAGGAAAAAGTCAAAAGCAACCATGGGTTGTGGCAGGAGGCTCATGCCCCACTGCCTGCTGCAGAAAGCTTATCTGCTGTGTCCATCAGCTGGTGCACATAGGTGGGACAAGCCAGGCCAGACAGATGCCCCGCATGGAGTTATCTCTGACACCAAGAGAGCGAGATCCCCAGCTGACAAATAAACATCTTTGCCTTGGGAGCATGATGTATAGAGACAAAGGTTAGGAATTATTGACAGAAAAACGCTGCATTTCACTATAAAAGCTACACAAATTTTCATGGAGGCAGAAGTCTCCTACACACCTATGGAAACATGTAGGGCTCCTCCCCAAACCATTGGATGCATTTTCATGGTTACTTTTCCAGAAAGTGGAGTCACTATCTCTGATGTGTTTAAAAAAAGATTGGATGTGACACTGGGTGCCATGATTTAGTTCAGATGTTAGGGCATGGGTTTTACTTAATGGTCTTGAAAGTCTCTTCCAACCTAATGATTTTGTGTTTCTGTGAAATTGAGAGCACAGGATTTTTAATGTATGCCTCATCAGAAATTGGATGGTAAGATACATGGAATCCTAATCTCTACTATTTCTTCACTAGCTGAAATATGAACCTTATTATAGTTCACTGAATTGTTAATCTACTAGTAGTGTACTTTTATTTATCCTGTGTAGTAAGTTACCTCTAAAAGTCTTATGTCAGTTAAATTTGTGTCTATTAAATAACTCATTTTTTATTAAACATAATTGGCCATTATTAAGAACTTGCAAACGAGAGTGGGTTTTGGGGTGCTAGCTGCCTCAATAAACTACTGTCTCCTGTGAGAGGCCTGGACAGAGGCAAAACTTGCTTAAACTCCCCTCTCCATTCAGAACAAGGGTCAGAGAGATTTTTCTAATAGGATTTGTAAATAGACTTTAGCTCTTGATAAATTTGCATCATGATACATTTAAAATTCCAAATTTATTTTGTTATACATAGCCATGGAGTTAAGGCATATTCTTTTTGAGATATGAAAGAGTAAGAGGAATGGCTTGTGAAAATGCAGATTTGGTAAAAACAATAGGTTTCTTTTTGAAATAATTTAATTGGTTTTAACTTGGGTTTTTCTTTGTTGTATCTATACTCTAATATTCCTGCTAAATAAAGGAGCCTATGTCTGTAATAATTTGTGGTTTCCTCAGTTCCAGCTGTCTCTGAAAACATTGGGGCACTTTTCACTTGCTAAAAAACATGCATATAGAAATAACTTAAGGAAGGAAATCAGAGTTAACAAAGAATTTGTGTATGGCAGCCAAAAAATACAGGAAGATCAAACATGTACAGGAAAATTATGAGTAGGAGGAAGGGAGGGAGACAGGGCATGAAATACTTCAATTTTCATATGCTGCTACAAAAGGCAAACAAGCAAGCAAATGTGCTCTTGTATCTGTAGAGAGATGTGTTACAGCTGGAGCACTCATCAGAATGTTTGTATGCTGAATGGCCTTGCCTCTGTGCATGTGAAACATCATTATGCAGCGGAGGTATTCAGGATCTGGGATATTAATTCAGGCATCCAGAAAGAAAAAAAAAAGACATTAAAAATTCTATTAACTCACTAATGACTTTAATTTTGATTTTGAAGAGAAAATATGGAGACTGACAAAGACAGTGAAGAAAAGCTGTACTGAGCCCTGATCCTGAGCAGGAAAAAGCATGCAACATATTTCTGAAACAAAGGTAATTTGGAACTCCTGACCCACCTTTGTCCCTAAGGAAGGTCACAGAGAGCAGAACCAAATCGTGTCTTGCTTTCTTGCTGCCCCACTCCAATTACAATTTCTGCTTTTGTACTTCCCAGTGGTTCTGCTGGATTAAGACATATTGCTAGAAAATAAGAGCTTTCTCCAAGTCCGACCAGGTAAGATATATCTGTATCCATCTAGCCTGTTTTTTCAATAAGATACCTAAGGAAGAGGGCAAGGACAGGTTGAACATACCAGAGTATTTCACACTGTCATCCACTGCTGTAAAGATTGAAGTAGTCAGGGCAAGTCACTGGCTGTGCTTTGAGCTGAATTCAGCACATACGTTATACAAGATTTGAGCTGCCAGAGTGTCTGAGGAGCTCAGACTGCCTCCACACAAAACCAAATCTTGGACACTGCCCTGGTTACAATGAAACAAGTAGCACAGACCACATGCTGATCTGCAGCAGAAATTTCCTCTCCAAAACTGACCTACTAATTTCCTTTCAAATTCTCACAAGGCCAGGCAATCTTTCTCAGAAGTTGTTTGAAATATCCTTTTGAACCCAAGAAATAAAAAGACATTATGCTGACTTAGATAATCTATCCACCTGTCTTAAAGAAAGACTGCAAATGTGACTTAGAAATGTGTTACCTATGCTGATCTAATACATTCAGAGTTTAGACAAGTGGGATTTCAGCTCTGTTTGTGTCCCCAGAACTTCCTGGTGAATAACTGACATAGGTCCATGATGTATGCAGTTCACCTTGAGCAGCTCCAGGCCCTTTTTGCCAGTTCTGTTACACCCAGGGCTGAGATGCTGAATTCATCTCAGTACTGGGGAGTGGCGACCCTGGACAGCCATCCCTAACCAGTTTTTAAATAATCAGACTGGCAAGCAACATTTCTGAGATGTCTACTTACCAGCCTGCCTACCACCTCTCTCCAGTAGTGACTGCTTCCTCCAGCTACACCACCTATTTTGGGACACTCCAAAAACCTGAAGAGGGGAATCAATTGGACAGTTTGGCAGCATGCATATCTCATACTGGTTCATTTTAAAGAAATAGGAGGTCAATACGCTTCATCATTTTTAAGTTTAATCTTGAGATAAAGAAACCCTGGCAAAACCTATCCTGTTCCACATACACCTCATAATCTAACCCTATCCCCCAAGTGAGCAGGGCACCAGGCAGAGCCAGGAGTCAGCTGTGGAGTTCACACATCCTGCTTTGGTCCTCCCCCAGACTTGTGCATGATTTACTGCTCCAGATGGATCCTTATAACTTTGCAAGGCCTAGTGATATTAATCCAAGGGTAAAGAGCTGGCCGATGTCATGAGAGCTCTTTCAGTGCATGTTCAAAGTTTTGGGGAATCTAGAGGGGTCTCATTCAACTGCAAGTTGGCAAATACAATAATTTACAAGACTGGCAAAAAGGATGACCTTGGTAATGGCCATGTCTTTAAATCACAGGAACTCAGGAAAATGGCCTAACTCAGGTCATACATCCCACAAATCAGACATCTCTCTAACTTTACTGGCATGTAACTTTAGATAATGATCATTACAAAATAATTTTTTAAATTGCAATATTTTTACATTTTTCGAATGTGTACTAAGTCCATAGAATACATGAATCTTTGAATATATTTGAAGAATTAAGATTTTGATCAAGTGGACACAGTGGGAACTGAGGGACTTACCATTCTTTTGGAAATACATTTTTCTTTTTTTTTGGGATCTCTGGGATGCACAACCACTGGGATTTCAAACCTCAGATACAGCTCTTAGCAACTCACTAGCTGTGGGATGGTGTTAGAAATTAGGCAGGGGACCACTAGCACAAAACAGGATTTAACAGTTTATTAACACCTTGATGAGGTATTACAGCAACCTGATGAGACCTTCAGGGTGAGAGAAGTGGACGAGAATCTTGGTTCATGATCAGAAGGCCGGATTTATTGATATATAATACATTATTATTATACTAAAAGGGATAAAGAGAGAAGTTGCAGAGGCTCGCTAAGCTAAGAATAGCATAGAAAAGAATGCATAACAAAGTTCTGTGTCCAGCAGAAAGCAAGGACGAACTCTCCTGTGAGTGGTCAGCAAATCCAAACACTCACAGAAGCCCAATCACCGCTGCACCTGTTGCATTCCACACCAGCCGATAACAATTGTTTACATTCTTCTTCTGGGGCCTCTGCTTCCTAGAAGATGAACAAATCCCAAAGAAAGGATTTCTATGAAAAAATGTCTGCGACAATGAGGGCTTTAAGGATACCAGTGGCATTTGAAAAACGGCAGTAGTAAACAGGAACATTTTGCACTTACTAACAGTAACTCAATTGCTTTGTTGAGTTGAGGCACAGCTTAATGCAGCAGAGAATGGGCATAACAGAAAAGTCCATTAAAAAAATTAAAGCTGATTTCTTTCAGGATGTAGCTGGCATTTACTGATCATCAGAACAGATTGCAGTGGATTCTGGTTTGTTGTCACGGTGCTAGCCAGAGAGGAAGAGCTATGGTGCATAGACCTTACCCACATTCCCACAAATGTGAACCATGCCCCATATGTGCAAGGTAAATTCTGTTTTCACCAAGAATATTAGGTGTTCAGGTGAGGGACAGATATTTTCAGACATTGTATTATAACTTTCTTGCTGAGGATTATAGACCTGCAAAGATGAGAGCAATCAAGAGACTGTCTACATGTGTTCAAATATGAGTTAGGAATAGCTGTGTTTACCAGGGTCAAGAAACGGACTGTGTTGGGGGACACACAGTGCCTGACATACCAAGGCTGCAGATACTCTTGCTACAGGAATACCATAGTACAGTATATGACATGGTTAGAAGCAAGTGACTTAATAGGTTTTGCTAAGTATACCAAGAGGAAATTAACCAGTGGCCTGGATGACACACCCCTGGAGCTCTAGTGCTTATCTATCTGATTGAGCAGCAGAAATATGAAAATGGTGGTCTCCCTGGTAACAAACATAATTGTATGTTTGCTTGAAAACCTACCTCTAGGTTCAGGGCCAAGATATACCACTACTAATGCTGAATGTTTCATTTTAATGTATCTGACATCCATCACTTTCTTTTAATGAGCAACAGCTCTGAAGTGATGGCAGATAATCAAGGATCTGAATTCTGCAATAAACTGAAATAATAAGAGATCAACTGTAAAGTTCTAGGACAGAATTGAAGTTTTAGTAAGTATTTAAGGCCAGGTGATATGGGGGTCTGGCCTAGTGGAAGGGGGGATGCAATGAAATGCATTATTATATGCATGAGCTTTAAGGTTCAGACATTCTATGATTCTGTGATTCTTTGAACATCTTCCTTCATTGATAAGAAATAAATACAGACACAATGATATGTCATTAACACCACTGGAAAGCTCAGACCTTTACTCAAATACACAGCTAGCATTACATTTAATTTTATTTATTGAAGATTCTAGTTCATGTTTCTAGGAGTTCTGTTTGTTTTCTTATCCAAAGGACATGATTGTCCTTCAGCTTCCTGTCTGAAGCTGAGTTTTCTCTGACTTTTGTGAGTGTTACTGTGGTTTAATGATAACTAAGAGCAGTTGAAGCAGCTGGTGTATTGTTAACTTATGATCTGTACTTTGCCTCCTATCCTAGCTTAATGTATCCTATGACATTTTTTAACTAGCAAACTTCAAGCAGCTAGAGTTTAAAAAATAGCAGTGAAATGATTTATGCTACATCTCAGGAGTCTGACTCTCTGAAGTCATCACAGAAGATTGCTGTTTTAATACATTCCAAGTGCTGCTGCAATGTCATTTTTCCAGACACCAACATGTGTCCAAACTATCTGACAAGGTGTGGAGAGACATCCAATGGCCACATTCAGGTGAATTAACACGTTAAGTTCCACCACCTCTTGTTGTTGCTCTCCACACTCTATTGTTCTTCTAGTCTGGTCTGGAAAAAACACTGCAAGCAGAAAGCTTTGACAAGTATTTAGTAAGAAATTGTCTTTCTTCTGCTCCCTCTATATCTTCAGCGACTTCTCTGTTTCTTGCAACTGTTTTTTTTTCCATTGTGCCCTGGCCAAAAAGAAGGCATTCGCATTTTAAAGACGTCAAAAATGTTCCAAATGACAGTCCTCAGAGCAAGGTGTGCTGTACAGCAGCGTCCTAGCACTGGTGCAAACTGCAGTGAGTTTGCATAAACTGAGGTACAGAACTAAGCACTGAGAACAAATCCAAACACAATCAAGAGTTTAAAGGCATTTGGGATGGCCCATTTGCAGAACAATGGAATATAAGCACACTATGAGACAAACAGATCGTAAAATATTATGTACTAATAGAAGGGCATTCAAATCTACTTCGTTCCTGCATAACCTGCATATAACTTATGATAAATGAAAAATATTCAATAATTGCAAGTAATTACCACAATTACCTTCCCTGCAGACTGCAACTGCCTGCTTGAGGAAATATTTGCAAATTGGTTTGGCCTATTTAAAATAAAAATCAAATTTTTTCTTCTTTTTCTTCATTTTTTATTTTTTATAGGAAAAGGTCTTTCTACTTATCTCTTTCCCTTTGAGTTTGTTTGACAAGTTTGTCAATACAAGTGCACACAGCTGTAGTTGAAGAGCATCTGAGAGGCATGTCTGTGCCAGTGCATGAAAAGGGGAATTAAATACATTCTGAAAAGGCAAAGTCATTGAAGCTGCCAAAGCTTTGACTATACAAGCTTTGATTTTCAGCTCATAGTTGCAGACTAAACTGACAGGATCAGAGCACTTCTCAAGTTTGCTTTTAGGGGGGAGAGTGGGGGGGGAGAAGAGATCAAGCAATGCAGATTGGAGCTAAATGACAAGGTTTTACAAATAAAATGCACATCTACCACCAAACTATTTAAATAATGGACTGTAAGTGCCTTTCAAACCATCTAGAATAGCAAAAGGTCTCCTAAAGGTTACATCATATTTACAGCTGAAAATTTCTATTGTCAATTTTAATGCAAATTTCTTTCTACTATTGTATGTAGTTCAGTGTGAGCTACTCCCTCTTCTTTGTGTATCCAGATAAATTAAGAGGGACTGAACTGCAGAGCTCTTATATTTCCAAAGCATTTTTCCTCAACTGTAAAAATGAATTCCAATACTTACCCGCCTGCAAAAAGATACCTCTGTGGAGCCTTCCAGACAAGGTGTGATGACTGCATGGCATTGCATGCAGCACTGGACTGCTACATTTTGCCATAAAAAGTTCTTAGCTGGCACAGAACATGAACTGGATGTTATTTATAACCTTCCATCATCCCGAGTAGTCATTTTTCATGTGAGACGATTCCCTCTCCAGTCAAACCCAGGCATCTATTTATTTGAGCTGCTTTCATGGGGATTGCATGCAGCAGCTGGAAAAGTCTTTGCTGAAGGCTTTCATTGTTTCAGAGAACTTCTTTCTGCCTGAGCTGGGTGTTGAAATTAGAAGAGAGAATCTTTCTTAAACAGCAAATAATTTTAAACACACTCACCAAAGTGTGCTCGTCACCAGAAACTGATGCCTTTCTGGTCTGTAATTTCCTTTCCCAGCAGTACTGGGAAATATGGATTTTTTCAGTGGAATTATATGCTTATTGGTTATTGCACAAGCTTGCTTATCTGGAAGCAACTTAAAAATGTTCAGCAGCTGAGCAAAATTTGAAAGGGGACCTTTTAATGTTTTGCAGATGGAAGACCACACTTTATCAAGAAATTAGTAAATAGACAAGTACAAGAAGCCCCAGAGATGTGGTTATTACTCACCACTCAGATCAAAAGTTACAGAAATTGTCCATTTATCGTTACTTTTCATATTCATTGGCAGTAACAACAGGTCATAATGACTGCAAAAGAAAGTGCTGATTAGAGAAACATTGTTCATTTATTTGTTTTAAGTACAGCCCAACACATGATTGAGACAATCCCTATATTATCTCCTCCCCATAAGAAAATATGAAGTTAAACCTAAGTTTTTTTATTATTCCCCAAATCCAAATTTGATCACCCTCGTAATCTGAACCCAAACCCATTCCTTGTCAATTCTCCTGGAATAAAGGTCCTGGAAAAAAGCCCAGAATTGTGCAAAGTGCATTCAAGAATTTACAGTGAATGAAGTAATGCCTGCAGTGCGGCACAGAACTTTGCTATCAGTGCTACAGTCCACAAGTCTCTGCTTTTTCTACTCTGGATAAAAGAAGTCAAGAATCTGAGAATGCATATACTTGGGGCTGATCTTCCCCTGAATCTTTACTGGACATTCTCTCTAAAGATTTCCACCCTTGACAAAACAGTTCTCTGTCACCTGAGCAAGCAGAGCTGAGGAAGCTTCTAGAAAGTCAGTGATATATATAAATAGGTAGAGAGGTACAACAGAGACTTCAAAGCAATTGCTCAAATATTGACGTTGTTTTATAGCTTCAGTTGTTGAAATAAATCCCTATCTCTTTTGTCTTACAACAGTATTTGTAGGTACTACTTTCCTGCTATATACTAATGACTAATACATATAGTGAAATGCAGTTTGCAGACTATAACTAGTACAGATCAGCTTAATTTTTTTACTTTAACCCTATTGCTGAATTTGATAATATATTTTTTATTTCTTTTATACTGTTGTTTTTTCTTTTTGCCGTTTTTCTTTGTGGAGCTTCAGAGATTTTTGCAATTATTTAACCTCTTTTTGGAGTATAAGATGTTCCAATAATTTGTTGTCCTAAAATTGGGTATTCCAAAAGAATTTATATGAAAATAAATTATTAAATGATCATATTGATTGTATGTCATTATGCCATAGGCTTAATTGCTCATAGTTTCTGAGTTTGAATTTTTTTTTAAATACTGATTAAGACTCCTGGCTTAAATAAGGAGGTAGATTGTAGTTACAGACATCCCTAATTTAATGTAAGGTATTTGGAAAGGTTTTCTGATATTGTCAAGATTTATTTCCTTTTTCTATTTCTGTAGTTGCTAGTCAGACATGTTCTTACCTATTTATGCTTATTGCTTATATAATAATTCCAATCTTACCTTTCATTTCCTGTAAAATCCCATTCTCTTCTCTTTACCATAGGATTATCAAAAATATCATAGCCTTGGCAATGGACTCACATAACTTCAATCAGTTCAACTGATTAAGGAAGAGAAGGCCAACCAGGTTTTAATAGTTTAAAAAATCCCCTGTAAATCTTTAAACTTGAATTCTGATAAAGATTTAGAGTTTGCCAGACTCATTAAAGGCTGAAACATGCGCCATTCCTTTTATAATCTACAAGGACCTGAAAATATGTTTGTAAATGTCCAGATAAATGAAATGTAGTTTTTGTAATGAAAATAAATAAACAAGGAAAAGCAGGAAATGGGTTGAAATTGTCTTGTTTGGAGATCCATGATCAAACTGTTAAAGCTGTACTAAGGCCTCTTAAGAATGGAAGAGTGGTTTTATCTGCTCAATAAGAATTATGGTGTTTATCTTAGCTGCCAATATAATAAAAATCTGCTGATTTTCTTTAGTACTGTATGACAATTCTGTATATAAGTCAATATTTAAGTGAAGCAGTACTTTTAATCAATTTTCCAATCATTTTAGATTTTGAAAAGTTTTTTTCTTTTGCTTCTTTTAAAATCACTGGCGGTTACTTAAATTCTTGCAGTTTAACATTACTCAGTCATTCTCTTCTCTCTTCAGCTTGATTGTGTTGCAAGCTTCCAATTCATTACCTTTTCATGAAGTTTGCTTTCTAAAATAATTTTAAATGCATCAATTGCCCATAAAATGGCTTTGTAAACACTAGAAAATCAATAATCTATGGAAGCTGGAAAATGTTATGTCATCCTAGATTGGCTCAGGGAAGATAGAAATGAGCAGTGTTGCTGTACCATGTTACATTCCCTCTTAGTGAGAGATCATCTACCTTAGGTATATCTGCCATGCCACTGCTCATGGAGTACATAAGGTAGATTACCCAGTACACATCCCACTCAGGAATTTAGATGCACACGGGATATGCCTGTATTGTCTTCTCCAGCCAGCACTCACAGCTCTGTGACTGAAGAATCTGCAAGCCAAATTTCATTCTGAAATTAGTACATAACCAAATTTCACAAGAGTGTGGCTCAAGATGAAACGTTCAACATTAACATCACCAAACAATTTTTATGTCCAGATATTGCTAAAAAGTGGTGCAGAGAAAAATGTGTTTCTGACTATTTTCTTCACCTAATAGAAACTTATAGTTCTTACATCTCCTTTTAAACCCCATATAGAGATTGATGCCTTAATTTTTTACTAAGAGGATTAACAAGATTATAAAAGACTTACTTCCATGTGCACAATTGTAAAATATATTAGTAACACTGTTTCTCACTACACTTTTTCCAAAATAATTCTTTCAAGTGCTATGTATTTCTTTTGAAATATTGCAAAATATTTGCAGAATATTTTGCCTGAATGCAAGTTAATCTGAAAGATAATAAACCTTTTTAAAATGTCAACGTTGTTCCTTAAGTATGAAGTCTCATAATAAGAAAAGGAGAACAAATTTTGTTCTATTTATCATACAAAAATTTTGTGAGGAATGTCTGGTACCTTGCTGGATATTCTGCTGATTATTAATAAGGGCGATTACTGTGAAGTAGATCACAGCAGAGCAGATGTGTAGTCAACAAAAATCACTGTTCATTGGTGATTTGCTATTTGGAGTAAATTCATTGGATACAGTACTTCACTAGAGTACTAAAAGAGCCAAAGATACTAGGCTCTAGACTAGGAGCTCAAAAGCAGAAAGAAAGGCAACAAGATACATTAAGTGTACCTCAAAGTTCAAAACACATGGCTATGGTCATAGTTCAAAAAGTAAGATACAGAAGGAGCTTCAGCTTTTGAAAGAACACGTTGCTGTCTTGACTGTGTACACGAACACTTGAAGAGTATTGGGAAGGGATAAACAACAGATGTGAGATTATCTTGTAAAAATAGGTTAAATGAATTTGAAGATTTCAGTAAGAAAGGCCCCCAGGAAGTTCAGACTTGAGCACATGATACTGCAAGAAAGTTATTGGTAGTGTTATCTTAAAAAATAATCAATATTGTACTTTTCTATGTTACAGTTCTGGTCAAAGTCTGACATCTGTACTCTTGAATAGTGGAAAATGGAGGGAGGTGGTCTGTAGTTACAGAGGTGAAGAGTTTTGTTTGATTGCTTTCTGTTTTGCTTTTGCACACAAGAAGACAAGATTATCCAAAATGAACATCTGTCTTTAATGCTAAGCAACACCAAAATAATGTTCCCAAATCCAAAAATAAGGTGGGCAAAAACATCAGAATTGCAAACTGTTAACACTTCAAGGAAATTTTTATAGTATTTGATAAACTCTTAAGGAAAGAGGAGAAAGTTCCTGAATTTTCACAAGAACAAGCAGAAGAGTACATAGGCAAAAAGACTGTGAATCATCAAGGGATATCAGAGACATTGCTAAAGATTAGCCTTATTAAAAGTCACTGGAATTCAGTATCTGACAAACAGCATATGCCCACATTCTGCAATCAATTAAGAGTGGGTGCTCTCAACCATGAGGAGATCTTGAAAGATGTCAGCATGGCAATTCCTCAGTTTGACATGTAAGAAACATTTTCTAATGCACATGAAAATAATCTGTGATCCAAAAAGTTAATAACTATTTTTTTTCCTTAGGTTCAAATTAATAGAGGCACTACAAAATGCATACAGTCAAAAATAAGCCAGGCAAGTAAAAGAGAATATATTACAACCACTGTTAAAAATAGCTCTTGAAAGAGGAAGCAGTTTATTGTTGCCAGAAAAAAAAATCTTTTAACTCCCTAAGAGAGTCTTACCAAAGACAAGTGTTGTGGTGTGTTTTTAAGTTTTTCAGTTTGCTCCCTCATTCTATGTATGATATCCCCCCGTCCTCTGTAAATGGTTCCTCCCTCCCCAGTTTTCCCGCCACTGCTCCCCAGGCAGTTGGTCTCCATAGTAACCCCGACCTTCAGTCAGTTGTATTATATAATTCCCCCTCCCCTATTCTCCCTAATAAGTAGATGTTTTCCCCTCCCTGGGCCCAGTCAATCACCCCCCTCTCCTCCCAGCTTTCGAGAACCTTCTTCTCTCTGGGGGTTGTGGTTGGCTGTGGTCCCGGGGCCCCTCCTTTACTTTGTATCCGTTGGTTACTTATGTATGTCAGTTATGATTAACATCTCCCTTTGAGTTTCCCCATTGGATAGCTGGGCTTCCCTCCCTTCTCCTCCCCTTTCCTTTAAAACCTGGTCTCTCCCCTTGATCGGGGCCATTTTGCTGGCTGGTGCATACCTTTGTTGGTGCCTCCAGACCACCTAATTCGCACCCCCAGGAAGTGGTCGCCTCCTTCTTCGTCTCACCTAGCGCAACTCCGAGCACAACATCCAGCCCAGCCTGAGGCCAAAGACGCCGAAGCGGGCTGGCTTCCTATGCGTAGGGGCGTCGGCCATTTTCACCCCTTCAGCTAGCCGGACATAGGGCCACGGACGCCCTCGCGCAGACAAGTAAATAGGAGATTATGTTTATCAAGTGTTTCATTTTTAGATGGAGTATCTGTTAGGAAATTACCTTGAAGACATATTTCACAAGAAAATACAGGTGAAATCCTACTTCTCATTATTGCCATGCAAAATGTCTTAGCGGAAAATAGCAGGAAAATAATAAAATACCCCCTACCAAAATGATGCAGACAGGTTTTGATGCTTTTCATTTAGGTTAAAAAGCAGAATAGCACTGGTGAAATACAGTCTATCACCACTGACTTTTTAAGACCTGCATTAGAAATTAACGTGTGTATTGACAAGGAAAGCAAAAACAATATAGTCAAAATACTAAGTTCTAGGAATTACTAATATTTTTTGAAAACTAGATTGTATCTACCTCTGTCTCTGCCACCACTAACAGCTGAGGCAGGCAGTAGTCAGACATAAATGGGCACCTACAGCACCTAAGTGATGTCTGCAGATCCCAGCAGACAGAGAATTTAGCTGTTGAGCTGTTGTTTGCTCGAGAAATCCTCATGGACACAATTGTTACATTAGGCTGTAGTAAAGAAGTCCCAGAACGTACCACAGCTAAAAGTGATAGATTAAACAAAGCTGAACAATCTGCTGAGATCCAGAGCACTTCATATAAAAGCACTTCAGGCTTGCTTACTGGCTATTTATCAAATTTATTATACAGCATTGATGTTTATTCGCTGCTTGTTACATTTGGCTGGGAGGAAGGTGACAAACAATAGTAATTTTTAAGAGCATGCAGCCCAAGCCATATTGATTAACAAACCCTCTTGATCAGCAAGATAACTAATGATCCAAGTGTGTTTTGAATTCCCAGATTTAGAGTGGCTTTTCATGCTGAGACAACATTTACACTGTAAAGAGATGACTTTCCCAAACTGATTTTTTTCTTCCAGAAAAGTGCACAAATATTAGTGGGTTTGGTACCACTACAGGGAAATCAGAAGGTCTGTATCTTATCAACTTCTTCGCTTTCAAAGTTTAATAAACAGTGGAAGAGATGCAGGAGAAGAAGGCAATAAAGTGGGGAAAGGTGTATCTCACTGTCTTGAGTCCAATGCCAGTGCACGTTCATCAAAAGGCACATACCGGGAGATTCCTTGGTTGTAGCCGTAACATGCTGTACAGAATACATATAGGTTTCATGCCATTTATGCCTTATTTGTATTTTAACACTAGGCTTCAGCCAGAGTTACTGAGAACAGGAATATTTTATTATCAGCCTGCAACATAATTTTGTGAGTTTCATGGCTTTCCTTTAACACAGTAATACAAGACTCATCAGATTTGGTGAAGCATCTGACCAACAGTTCCCATAACTCTGCTCTGTGTTCATGGAGTAAGATTATTCTCTGCTTTTGCATTTATCCCTGCCAGAGCCCTTCATTACTCTGGCAGCAACTTGCCTGTGCCAGAATAAGTGGAGACAACTGAAACCAAAGTTAATTATCATAACAGATTCCTTTTCAATGCTGTTTTCTATTGCACTTCACAAGCTGCACTATGGACAAAGTAACAAGGGCAATAAAGGCAGGACCTAGAATACCACAGCATTCAGGGTTTTCTGCAGGTGAAACTAATTGCTAATATATTTCCCATTACCATAAAAAAAAAAAAAGAAAAAAAAAAGAAAAAATAATAAAGGAAAAAAGAAAAAAGGATTGTGACCTATGAGCTTTCCATGTATCTTTAGCAGCATTTCATACATCATGATACAGTATACTTCTGCTTTCATTATTGGAAGTTTAATAAAGCCATAGAGCATCTGAAGGGCTCTCACAAAACTTTTTGCACTGCACACTC